TTTCTTATTGATAGTGCTTAACCACTACCCTGCAGGCCCCCCCTTTCCTTTTTTCTTTTTTTTTTTTTTTTTTTTTTTTTTTTTTTTTTTTTGAGCGGTTTTTGCTGTAGGGCACGTGTGCTTGCCAGACAGAGAGATAGAAAGCGAGAAATCACCCCCTGGGGGATGGCCACGCCTCAATCCCTCCAGCCTCCACTTCTGACCTCACCACTCCCTGATCCACCTCCAGCCCCACTTGCTGCTGCTGCTTCTGGGTCATGGCACATACCTGTCTCTGGATCTGGGAGTTGCTGTTGCTTTTGCCTGGATATTCTTTCCTCAGAGTCCTTGCTTCATATCTTTTAGGTTTCTATTTAGATACCCCGTTACTTGGGGGCTACCCCTAAGACCATTTCCATCCCTTGCCAACTGTGTGCTCTAGTGCAAGCAATAATTATGAAGCGGTTTAACAGGCAGGATACCAGTGCCTGCAGGTGGTATCTGCCTGTCTTTCTAAACTAGAAATCCGCTTCCAGGAAGCACCCATTTCATTCGCTACTGTATCCTCACTTAGGAGAGTATCCAGTTGTCCTCATCCATTGAAAGTCTGTGAGAAACAGTGTGTCTTGGAGATATTAGGCAACCACTGAGCTTTTACTGCACGAGAATAAGGAAAGCTCTGCTAGTTCAAACTACTGAGCCTAAATTTTATGGAATCCACTTTCTTTCAAACTCAGTCGGGAGAGTATCTTTGCTGTCTATCCTCTTGGAGCTTCTGTTTATTTTGTTGACTTAACTGTGGGCCTACATAAGCTTATAGAAAGACATATTTTAAATTCCTTAAAACATATGCTGTTGCCCCATCTTGGAAAGGAAAGCATGTGTTTATAGTGGCCATCTAGAAGCTAGTATTCCAGAATAAGAGCTCCAGAAATAAGATTCCAGGGAATACTGTACACATTGAAAGCAGTTACCCACTGAAAGGGGTAGTTCAAGCACCCAGGGGGTTAAAAGGCTTCCCTGAGGACCAGCAGTTGACATAATCACTGGACTCCCATGTAGTTGACCACAGTTCAAGTCCTGGACGCAGTGGCTTAAACTCACGCTGGGTGCGTGTGTGTGCGTGCCCAAGATCCTGAGAGGAAAATGGAGGAGAAGGGACTGCGGCATGGCCATCCTCCCTGGGGAGGAGCGATTTTTCGCTTTCTGTCTCTCTGTCTTTCTGGCGAGCGTACATTCCCTATAGCAAAAACCTCTCCAAGAAAAAAATGAAGGCTTCCTGTAGGCCCTGGACCTGCTGGGTCTGGGGCAGCTCCTTCTACTTGTGTCGTCCTGAGCACAGGGTTGCCTGATGCTCTGTTGCCTCGAGGCCCACCTGGCCCCTGCCTCTGGCCTCTATGCAGAGACGTCCAGTGACCATGAAGGAACCTGTTCATTCTGAGTGGCCCAGGGTCACTTCCCTATAAAACACCTGCTCTTGCAAATTTGTCAGAGGTCTCCTGCATGGAGCCAGAGGATTTGCAAGGCTGGCAAATGTGGGGCCTGCTTTTAAAATACCTGGTTCCTAGAATCCAGAACTAAAATACACATTTGGAAAAGTTATGTCTGTAAAATTGAGAGGATGAAACAGCGATAGCAGTTTGACGTTGCTTGCATCTGCTTGAGTGTCTTTGGATATGTCTCTTTGAACAAGGTGTAAACCCATTTGGAGGAGCAGAGGGCAGCCAGGGGAAGATTTCAGGAAGGAGAATAAAGTAATCAGAGTCCAAATTTAGACTGGTAGACCGATGGGACATGGACAGATTGGTTAAATAGTGATCATTGCTGTCCCCAGGAGGTACAAGAAGAAAGAACTAGATTGAAAATATGACGAGGGTGGGAAAAGCAGGCTGATGACAATGACTGGACAGAGTGGACTGTCTGGCCACAGGAGGTCCCTCCCACAAGGCCTCCGTGCACCGCGGTCTTCCTCCTGCTTTGTGCCTCTGACTGCAAGGGCTGGTGCAGCCTCTAATGGCATAGGGAGGAAGTCAGGAGGAGGGGCACTCAGCTCCCATACCCCTGGGCAGCATGACTCCAAGGCTGTCCTCAGTGCTACCCTCCACCCCCCAACAACCCCCCGCCCCAGGGAGAAGGCTTCCCCGCCCTACCGCCTGCTGCTCCTGGCATTGGCCTCGTCTCATTTTCTTTCCAGGGCTCTTCCTCAAGGGAGGGAGGAAACAGGAGAGAACTGCTCTGGTGGGGTTCAGGAGAGGGTGTTTGCAGGAGTTGGGGCACAGGCATGCCGAGGTGCGTTTGGACCCAGCTGGTCTGAAATGAGCCCTGTGTAGCGTGACCTGTGGGGACTGTTAGGAGGTATCAGGTCTTTCTGCCTCCTCGCCAGCTCAGCTGAGCTGAGTAGTCTGGGGAGGCGGCTGCTGCTGACTCAGATGTAAGTCATTATCTGCAGTTTGGAGTATCTCGCCCCCCTGGCTGACCCAGTTGTATTAAGAATACAAACGAGAGTGAATGAGTCATCCAGCCCCAGGATTCTGGTGCCCTCTGGGGGTTTTACACACGCTGCTTGCAGACACTCTGACCATTTAGGGGAAAGAATTTTTGGGCAGAACTTGTCCTGGGGCCCCTGCTATTCTCATCCAGCTCTAGCACGCCCTCCTCACTGGCCACTTCCTGCCCTTCTCCAGGTCCCAGGAGCCACCACCTGTGGAAGGCAGAGAAGCCTGGCAGGCACTGCCTGGTAAAGGCACTATTACACCTGAGTTTGGCTTTGTCACCTGTCAGGGCGAGTGTAAGACACACACACCACACATAGACACCCGGGCAGCTGTGAGTGAACCTTGGGCACTGTCTTGGTCTGCCTAGTGGCAGGACCATTTCTGCCAGGTGCCTTGTGAGGGAACATGTCATTGATGGAGTATTAGAGTGTGAAGGGTTGGTAATTAATAGATACCAGGCCTTTTACAATAATAGTTTTATTGAGGCGTAATTTGGATATAATAAAACTTGCCAATGTTAAGTATATAACATTAACTTAAACTTCCTTTGACAAATGTATGTAGTCCCATAACCACAACAGTTGTGACAACATTCCCATGATTCCACCATGATTTCAAAGGTTTTTATTTTGTTTTGTTTTTTAAATTTTATTTATTTCCTGAGAGAGAGCAGACAGGCAACCTTGACAGGGACTTCACACTGCCGTCCACCTCCTCTCTGCAGCCAGGTGGGATCCGGGCATGCATGGAGTGTTGGAGTAGACCCAGACTGGACAGGGCTGAGCCTCCGCACAGGGTCACTAGCACCAAGCAGCAGCACCCCAGCTGCCTGCACCACCGTGGCCAGGCCCAAAGTGCCTCTTACCCCGCAGTCATCTGTTTCTCCACCCCAGCCCCTGCAACTGCTGACCTGCCGTCTCTTGTTGGGTTTGTCTTCTCTAGCATTTCTGTCACGTGAAGAGAGTTGTACAAAACAGTCTTTCCTTCCTGCCTTTTTCCCTTGGCATGCTTCAAGATTCACTCCTGGGTGCACGTGTGACTTGCTTATTGCTAAGCGGAGTTAACAATAAATGGATGTACCACACTTGATTTTCTCTTCACGTATTGATAGGCATTCAGGTTTCCATTTTGGGGCTATTATGAATAAAGCCCCAAGACATTATTCATGTGTCTTTGTGGACTTGGGCTTTCATTTCTCTGGTTTATACTGGGAGTGTGATTGCTGGGTTCTCGCATAAGTATATGTTTAACATAGTAAATAACCTTCCAGACTGTTTTCTAGCCACGTCATTTTGCATTTCTGCTAGTAATAAAAGAACACTAGTGTCTCCACCCCTTCCGATCTCACCAGTACTTGGCGCAGCATCAGTCTTAGTTTTCCTGGTCCTCACGGATATGCAGTGGTACCTCATTGTGGTTTCGATTTGTGCTTCTTAAAAGATTAGTGATGTTTAGGACTTTTTCGTGGGTGTATTTGCCATTTATGTCATCCAGATGACATTTAGATGCTCGATATCTTTCTAATTTAATTATTAAATGTTTATTCCAAATGGACGAATTTATGAGTCTCATATAATGTTTCCTCCATCACCTAAATCTTGGGTAAAGGACAAGGACCACATAAACTTTTTCCTTCCCCAAAAGCCATTTATTGAGCCCATTTTATTTGCTAAGTGTTATGATGGCTAAAGGGATAAATGTTATACTAAGAACGTCACAGAAAAGTCGGAGAAGATGGACAAGAACTTGGGCCTTGTCGTGACTGCCCTAGGAGCCTGTGCAGTGCTTAGGAAGACAGGAATGCTAACAGGCAGTCTTCGGTGGCTTCATTGAGGAGATGGCACTTACTGTCAGTGAGATGGACAACATAGGTGTGAACATTAAATCAGTGAGATGGATAACAGGTGTGAACATTAAATCAGTGAGATGGACAACATAGGTGTGACATTAAGGTCAGTGAGATGGACAACAGGTGTGAACATTAACGTCAGTGAGATGGACAACAGGTGTGAACATTAACGTCAGTGAGATGGACAACAGGTGTGAACATTAACGTCAGTGAGATGGACAACAGGTGTGAACATTAACGTCAGTGAGATGGACAACAGGTGTGAACATTAACGTCAGTGAGATGGACAACAGGTGTGAACATTAACGTCAGTGAGATGGACAACAGGTGTGAACATTAACGTCAGTGAGATGGACAACAGGTGTGAACATTAGCGTCAGTGAGATGGACAACATAGGTGTGAACAGGCGGGCAGAAGTGTTGCAGGACAGGGGACCAGCACTCACCCAGATATGGCTGGCAGGTGAGTAGGTGTGGCAGAAGGCTGCTGGTGGTTGGCTAGGTTGGAAATTGGGTGTTTCTCAGCGTCATTCTAGAGGGATGGGGACCTCCTGTGACCAGGAGGTGGGAAGGGTACAAACCTTTGGGATCTTGATGAGGGGTATAAGGGAGATGAGGGGATACTACCTGGCAGGCAGGACAGGTTGGGGTCAGGTTCCCAGCAGCCGGGCAGCCTCTTCGACATCTGACAAGTTTGCATCTGTGGGAAGCGGCCTCTTTTCAAAGAGCAGGTGGTTTATAGAATACTGCCAGTGGGTATCAGAGATGAGGTGGCCATGTCTTTATTCCCTTCTGAAAGAAAGCTTGACCATGGAGACCAATTAAGAGCCTCTCGGTGTGGGTTTCAGTTTTACTGTGGCTTCTTGGGTAGGTGTTGGGGAGGGGGGAGGACAGTGTCTGCTTTTAGTATGTTCCGTGTCAGAGCCACATTGTTGAGGAGGGAAGAGGCTCCCAGTTCCGAATGCTGGCCCTATTCCTGTCACAAAGCCCAGCCAGCCTCTGATCTGCCCTATGAAAGGCAGTCAGGAAAGAACATTTATTCCTAAACCTAGGTTTTTGACAAGAGGGGCTCCTAGCTATACACCCCATTCCACTCCTGTATCTCAAAGTCAAGAGTTCCATTGCAGGTCAGGCATTGACTGTCGGGCAGAGTGCAGGAGGGGGCTCGGCTTCGGAAGAATGGGAAAGTTGTCTGGAATGAACACAGCTTCAACTGGAAGCTTCCCATAGAAGAGAGAGAAATAACATCATGGACTCATTCTTTCTAATTAAACTTTTGTTTCATGGGTATATTTCACAAATGCATATTTGTTTTATTTTATGGAAAGTACATAATCAAAGAAAAAATTACCTTGAATTCTGTAATCTCAGACTAATGAAAAAGTTAAAAAATAACCCAAAATTCTGTCACTGGAAGGTAGATAGGCAGCAGTAGGTGTGCCAGCCGTAGGCATGTTTCTAGGATTTTTTTTTAGGAAGGTCTGGATATGTTCGGATGTTGGTGTCTTTTTTCTCCCGAGTCTGTTCATTTGGAGAGCCAAAACCAGTTCGGCTGACCCTCCCTTCTTTCTGTTCACTCTGGGGTCTCTTCTTGCAGAACCCAGCCCTCGCTGACATCTACACGGAGCACGCCCATCAAGTCGTGGTAGCCAAGTACGCGCCCAGCGGATTCTACATCGCCTCTGGAGGTACCCGTATGAGTGCGACTCCTGAAAGCGTGTCGTGTGGCCCGTGGCACTTAGGGCCCAAGGCCATGCCGAGCTCCCCTCGGGGTTGGAAAGAAGAGAGGAACCTGGGTGAGGGCTGGCAGGTTAGCTTAGCTGTCAGGGGGCCTGCGAATTGGAGCTGGCAGGGAAAGTATAGGCCCCCGAAAGCACTGTTGAGGACTAGTCTGCGAAAGCATACTCTATAGCTTGCAGTTCCAGTTAGTCCCAACTCAGAGGCCAGCAGAAACACTCCCGTGGGGCTGGCCAGAGGCCTCGGTAGGGAGCTAAAGCACGAGGTATTGAAGTTCATTGTGTGTGTGTGCACAGCTCGCGTGTCTGAATGTAGCTTTGTCTTGTGTCATCCTGAATTCGCTGCTCCTTTCCCAGTGCCTGACACAATGCCGGCTGGGCCTCAAAGCAAGCGCTCACATTTTATTGGTGGACTAGGCCTTTGCTCTCTCCAGCCTGGACTTTTGTGTGGCTCAGCAGGAGGTTGGGGAAGAAAAGGGGGATCATTACATTTGTAGGATACTTTGTTTACTTAGTTTTTTGAGAAAGAGCTTTTACCATTTACAGATGGCAAAGGGAGGCACCAAAGTTAGAGTAGCATGCCCTGCATCTCACACTCATTCCTTCGCTCATTCGGACACTCAACCAATACTTACCTGCCTTCGTTGCTGGGCCCTGTCTGCAGCCCGCGGGAGAGCCAAGTAAAAGGGGGATCATTACATTTGTAGGATACTTTGTTTACTTAGTTTTTGAGAAAGAGCTTTTACCATTTACAGATGGCAAAGGGAGGCACCAGAGTTAGGGTAGCATGCCCTGCATCTCACACTCATTCCTTCGCTCATTCGGACACTCAACCAATACTTACCTGCCTTCGTTGCTGGGCCCTGTCTGCAGCCCGCGGGAGAGCCAAGTAAACGAGCTGACCGATGTGGACCTCGTCAGCATTTCCGGAGAGCAGCAGCTCTGAGTTGCTGTGAGGACTGCCCAGCCAGCAGAGAGGGCCGGTGTTCCTAATGCTGTGGTGTTCCGTCTACCCTGCCCTGCAGAGGACAGGGACCTGTCCATCACAGGTGTACGGGGGTCTTCAAAAGTTCATAGTTTTTATATAATATGCATTTTTCATCATGCATTTTGAAATTTTTGCACCAAATTAAGCAGGTACTTTAATTCTGTTTTTACCACTAACTTTTTGAAATCTGTAAATATCTGGGAGTCAGTGGGCTTCAGGGTTGAGGGAGACCTGGTTCATTCCTGTTGTAGTCCATTTTGTACTTCTAAAACATTACCATAGACTGGGTGATGTATAATGAACAGAGGCTGGGAGGTTCGTGATGGAGGGGCTGGCATCTGGCAAGGGCCTGACTGCCTTGATCTGACGGTAGAAGGTGCAAGGACTGCAAGGGCGAGAGAGACCAAAGGCGGTCTGACTCGTCCTTTTTAGGGAACCCACTCCTGCTATAATGCGTTAATCCTTTCACGAGGCAGTGCCCCCACCCAGATACCTCACGTTAGGCCCATCTCCCAACTGCCGCACTGGGTGTCAGGTCCTCAGCAGTCGCTTTTTGGGGCCACGTTCAGACCACAGCAGTTCCTTCGTAGTGTTGCATCCTCAGTTGAGTAGCTTACATTCCTAGGCCCTGCCTTTCTGTGACTGGGGCTGTTAATACCTGCCTCGCAGGGCTTGGGGAGAGGTGCAGCGAGGCGGCGTGTGTCATTGCCCTAATCGGTCCTTGACGCGCCAGTGCGACCACGTGGCCTGTCACTGACAGGTTCTCCACCAAGCAAGCCAGGAGCATGGCAGGCTGGCTGGCGGG